CCTCCAAATGATCACGATCCTCAATAATACGAAACGACGCCCCAAAGGACATGGGAACCACATCATACTCAACATCACATGTTGGCTCATCAATCAACGCATACCTCGGGTCAACGACATCACACAATACCTCGGGATCCTCCTCAACAACATCCACAAAATCATCTACTTCCACATTCTCCTCCTCAATATCATCCTCCTGAGCACTATCAACACCGTTAACCACAATCGAATCCTCAAATGAATTCTCTCCCATACCGTACACCATATCAACCCCCGAATCCATACACTCACCCTCAACAATAGAATCCAAGCTCAAAGCACTATCACCGAAAGAATGAGTTGACGTACCTAACGTGGATTGCGCGACCAAATCGTCGATAGAGGGAATTTCTTTGACAAACAAATCGTTGATGTTCTCACTCGTGTCAATTGATTGTGTTCCATTATAAACGAGAGTGAGGCCCACCTCTTTCAAGGAGGCAAACCGATCCACCATAGCTCAAAACTCACCTTCTAACCGAGTGCTCTCTCGAATAACCCTCGCCGATAGAGAACAATATCTACCGAGCGGAATGTGAGATGCATCCAAATCGAGGAAAGAGACCACGGTAGAGTCAAACTTTGTGAGTGTGAGTTGAAGAACGGATGGAATGGGAATGCACTTCCACCTATGAAACTCCTCAACGATCAACATAAGGCTAGCGAGTGCCTCTTGAGTGCTCGTCAAAACCTTTTGGTGCCGTTCGAAAGGTGCAACCGTGGATGGAAATGAATCTTCGGAACTCGATGTGCAAGGTTGGCCAACCGATAGGTGCTCCAATGGTAGAGAGGGCGTGGTAAGGGACTCGGTTTCATCTTTTTCGGACATGGGCGCCATTGAAGCTTGAAGGGACCGATTGCACTCCTCTAAGTGCTCCATGATCTCGGCTATATTGACTCGAGAAGATTCTCGAGTCGGCTCGGGTGGAGATGTCGCATCATAAGAACCGAGAGGTGGTGGATAATAGTGAGGCCTCTCGTCGTGACCCGGAGAATAATAACTATAATCGACTTAGGATGTCGGTAAAAAAGTGGCTCGGGTACAGATAAGGCGGCCCTCCATACGAATACATCTCCTCATAATAGTTGTCGGGGAATCCACGAGACGAGCTACCGGCATAAGCATAGCCATATGGATCCATCGGTGCTCTCCAAGCGAATTACCTCGCACAAGAACAACACAACGACCAAGGCACACGAGGCAAAGGAAAGAAAGCACGAAATGCAACTAACAAGACATGATATGTGCACGATCACACATAGCAAAACGAAAGAGAAATCGCAAATAAAGAGAAAAATAAGAGAAACACGCAAAAACAAATAAAAACCACAAAAAGCAAGAGAAACACGAAAACAAACGACAACTAGATAGCAAACATGGCATCCCACTCGCCTTCTCCGGCAACGGTGCCATTTGTTTAGTATAAATTTGGTGGGAAAGTTGTAACCGAGCTACCCGACTCGGGTCTATCTCGAAGGAAGGCGATTCAGAGCTTTATCTACTAGTTGATCATCCCAAAGCACACAAGAAGAGAAAATAAAGTCCTAAACATCCTAAACAATTGATTGGAGGTTGAATTATCACTAATGAGCAATGAAAATCTCGATTAATTGAAAGCTTGAAAACAAAGATGAGAACTTTAAAGGTAACCGGAGTCTTAATAGCTCAAATCCTCACAAATAACCGATAAACATCAAAGTAGTCACGTGATCCTAGGTGAAAAACTCGAGCTTTATACTAAAGACTACACCTTTAACAAAATCGTAACCTTAAAACGAGATAATCACAAGCTATTCCCTAACACATCATGACAAACTACAAGAATCGAACGTCCCTCCATCCAACAAGCAAATCGATATCACTTTGGCAAACGGCATAAGTATTAAACGAGCAAAATCAAAGTAATGGGGATTTAAACTAATTACCCACGCTATTAATGCACGCGAGAGGAACACCGGATGGAATAGTTCAAATCTTGAAGCAAAAAGATGTCACTGGAAACTTGCCGAAAAAACCGAGTCGATAAGCTCCAAACATAACTAGAGAGAAAATAAAGACTTAAACTAGTTTCCAAAAGAGGAAAATTAGAAAAATGATAGAAAGATGCATCCCAAAATACAAAGGGAGAAAAATATTTATAGTCTAGCTCCAAAACACACACTGAAACACGCACATTAAGTAGCACACTCTCGACCACGCAGCACAATCCGCGAGCTCGCGAGTGGCAGTAGGTTGGCGTGCACGGTGCAGGGCTCTCGACGTCGCTGGCGGTGATGCGCGCGTTGGCAGCAGACGGGTGTGGGGCATGAAGCACACTCTCGACGGCCCAGTGGTTTCCGCGAGTCACGGGCGAGTGAGGATGCTGGGCAGGCGACACTCTCGATGGCACGGCGGTTTCCGCGAGTC